AACATAAAGTTCCTGAGAGAGGCAATTTTTGTATGGAGAAAGGTAGGCACCATGCTCTACCAGCATGATGGTAAAATTCTGGCCCTAACCCAACTCCCAATGGAAGGGGTGAAGGACACCCAGCCTCCTTGCTCCTTATTCCTCACTTTCCCTGACATCACTGTTCTTCACATCAAAGATTGTAATTTATGATTTATACACATACTCTCACACACCCAGACTAAAGGGTGTAAGGAAAATATTTTATTGGGTCAAGTCAGCCTATTACTTATCAAATCTGTGTTTTTACTCTTCAAACTGATCAAAATCTGATATACAACACTATGACAGGCAGAATTCTAAGATGGTTCCCCAAACTCCTGGCTCCTAGTGAGCACGTCCTAGATTATCCCCTCCCTTTGAGTTTGGGCAGAACATATGAATATGAAGGGATATCACTTCAGGGATTAGGTTCCTCCAAAGGGAGATTATCTGTCTGGGTCTGACCTAATCAGGTGAGCCCTAAACAGAGATCAGGGTCTCCCAAAGTTAGAGAGACTGGAGGTGTGAGAAGGCCTATGGAAGGGCTACTGGGCAAACACAAAAGACTGGCCTCTGACCAACAGCTAGCAAGACAACAGGGGCCTCAGTCCAACAACCAGGGGGCTTGGAAGAGGATCCCAAACCTCAAATGAAATGCTACTTGCAGACCCTTTGACTTGCAGTCTTATGTGACTCTGAGCAGATATCCAGCCATGCCATGCCCAGACGTCTGACCTACAGGACTGATATAATAACCAGCTGTTGTTTTTAAACCACTCATCTGTGGTAATTTGTTATACAACAATAGAAAACTAATACACGGGCATTTCTCATATAATTAAATAACAGTATATTTGGTAGATATGAAAAATTTTCGGACATTTTACAAATAATTGTCCTAGCTGTTTTAAGAATATTTCAAAAAAATGTTCAAAGAACATTAACTGTGCACTATCTCCTTAATACTTCTCACCCTAACATGAAAAGCCATGTGAACCAAAATTCACTGAAAAAGTCTTCACTGTTGATGGGCTTTTTTGGTAAGGTGACCTTCTTCCTGGCCAGCCGCTGAAGGGTGGGCGGAGTGGACAGAGCGCAACCCAGACCACCAGCCAGAGACCCCCAACCGCCCAGACTCTGCCCCGCCTCGGATGGAAGCCCTAAGCCCATGACAGACGTTGACAGGGGACAGAAAAGCAAATGTGGTTCGTCCCTTTAATCCCTAACCCAATTTCTCGGGAAAGCCGAGCTCCCACGCGGAAAGCAAGCCCTCTAAAGCTACGGCTTGGCTACCGCACTCGCAGTTGCTTTACAAATTCTCAAAGCAAATGACAGAAGTCTCCACTAGCGATCACTGGGACCACTTCAGGCGCAGATGACGCAAAGTTCATATCGGTTTGAAAATACAGATATTGTGCTCCTTGGTCGCTCAGTCCACAGGCCTGGGGAGAGGCCACTAAAATCGGGATCTTTCGTGTTCTTCCCTCGTCCCATCCACTTGACCACAGCCAGAGATGGCCAGTCTCCGAAAAGGCACCTACCCGCGCGTGACAACCCGGAACAGCATCTACGCGAAACGACCAACTGCGCCTGTGCGAGTCGGCTGCTCCCGCGAGGGCGGAGAACAGAGAGAAAGGGCAGGACCCCGCCGCATGGGGAGGGGCTTAGAGGCTCGTCGCGCCTGCGCAAAGAGCTCTACGGCGTGCTGCGTCGTTACTTTTGAAACGATTGGCGGGGAACTGCAGCGGGAGCCGCCGGGGTAGCTTTCTGCGGGGTGGGAGTGTGAGTCCTTGTCCGCGGGCTTGGCTATGGCGCTGCAGCTCTCCCGGGAGCAGGGCATCACCCTGCGCGGGAGCGCCGAAATCGTGGCCGAGTTCTTCTGTGAGTCCTCGCGCAGGTCGGAGGGCGGGGAGAACTAAGCCCAGGCGGCCCGATAGGCCCGCGGTTCGGCCTCCCAGACGGGGTGAGCCCTCGCCGGCCCGGGCCTCCTGCTCCACAGGACGAATCTGGGAAAAGGCGGATGCAGGCGCCTTCTCTCGACGTGTAGCGAATGATGGAGGAGGAGGCCTGGGTGCTGCCGAGGCCTGCCTCGCGGTGTAATCTCTTCTTCTGGAGCGTCTCTCTAAAGTGCAGATTTCTGCGCCCCCGCCGAGACTTAGGGCTTGTGTGACTTTGGGGAGACCCAGTGTGTATTTGTACCCAGGCCCCACCCTCAACCCCGGTGATTCTCAGGCTGGCGGTGATGAACCAGACTTTGGGAAGCGCTGTCCCGGACCGGGCATTGCTATACGTTCTGATAGAACCTGGCAGACTTTGAGAAGAAAAGGAGGAAAAAGAGGGAGAGGCTCGCCTGGAGCATTGGATTAGTCAGTCAGTTAGTTGCTAACTTAGATGCAAAAGGCTGTTTTGACATCCTCTAACCAAGCAATCTGAATTTGGATTTGGATTACGATGAAGTGAAATTTGGCAATGGTAGATTAAAACAGTTTGGCATTTTTCTTTTATTGCCACTTGAATGCAGGTGTCTCTTACTTTGAAGCAAGATTTTAAGGATTTTTAGTGCCCATTTGTACCTACTCTGCTTTCAGCAAGACATACAAACACGTGTGTGCAGGCATTTACAGCTTTGTATCATTAATGAAACTACAGCCACATCTAAGTGTGTTTTATTTTCCAGAGTTACGACGTGATAATGACTTTTCTTTAACGTTTATTTTGTTTTCAGCTTTTGGCATCAACAGCATTTTATATCAGCGAGGCATATATCCATCTGAAACCTTCACTCGAGTGCAGAAATATGGACTCACGTTGCTTGTAACTACTGATCATGAGCTCATAAAATACCTAAATAATGTGGTGGAACAACTAAAAGGTATGTAATCATTGGAAGCATTGTGAGTTTTCAGACCTTCTAGAATCTACATTTTCTAGCATCTCAAATGGTCATTTTTCAGCTTTGTGCATAGAAGTATAAAACACTACTATCTCAAATATAGTGATTCTCAGTTGAGAGAAAGCAAATAATATACAAATTTAAAGAAATCCCACCCTTACCCTGCTACATTTACGGTGGACTGAATATTTTGATGTTAAGAATCTGATGTGGCTCAACAAAACAGTATCCATCAACTTCTTTGAAGTGGCTTTTGCAGTTAATGTGGCCAAATGGAACAAATTGGAATTATACGTGATTATGATGGTATTCATTATCTGTTTGAGAAAATATATACTACACATTAATATACTGTATTAGTTTGTCTGTAACTGCTCAGAGTCTAATGTCATCATTAGATTAAGATCAAAGAAAATAAAATTGTATTCAACCAGGGAACTAAACTCCAAAAAACTGAAAAAAAAACCCACAAAATAAATAACAGAACCCCCAGTAGAATTTTCTTGTTTTTCACTTATTTCTATTTGTCTTTTTAAAAAAATCACCTGTGATTCAATAAACCTTTTCTAACTCAACACTTTTTTTGTTGCTGCTTAGGTCAA